TCCCTCCTAGCACTGATGATGTTACCTAGTTGGGTCATGAAACGTCTGCAAGTAATACCCCAAGCTCAGAGAGCACCAAGGGCTCCACAGTCATCGTTCTCCTCCCCCTCCTCCTCCTCTCCACAACCCCTCCTCCCTCCTAGCACTAATAATGTTACCTAGTTGGATCATGAAACGTCTGCAAAAAATTAATAAAATCCAGGCACAATTCGCTAATCCATCTCCTTACCTAGGAATGGAAATTCAGGGTTCACCACTTGGATAACTGTTGCAGGTTGCCCAATTTGCCAGGAAAAGCAATCAAATTAACAAGACAGAGAGAGAGAGAGAGAGAGAGAGAGAGAGAGAGAGAGAGAGAGAGAGAGAGATGGTGGCTCACCTGGCCTGCTCAGCAGGATCTGGCTCAAATCTCAGGAAGGATAATTCCAGATCCAAGCACGATGGAAGGAATCGAAAATTCAGGAATCCCAAAAGAAGCTGCCCAGCATTAGGGACTTCCCACCGTAAAAACAGAGGGTTAAAAGTAGCTTTTTTCCCCCACCTCTTAAGCTGGATTCAGCATCACCTCTCCGGCTTGGCCACCGGCAGCCAAAAATCAGGATTTTGTCCTTGCTTTGCTTTCTCTGTTGTCCTCGCTCCCAAAGAAAACTTTATATCTTACTCATCCAATGACTTAATCTTGCCCCTCCTTGCTTCCCCTTTTTACAAGCGGGACCAGCCAGTGGGAAGCAGGGAAAGGAGAGCCAAGGGGTGGGTTTTTCTGGTTTTCATTTAAAAAAAAAAAAGAAGAAGAAGAAAAAAAAAAAGAATTTGGCCTTGCCTCCACAGCCTCCAGCGCAGGTGTTCGTGCAAAAAAATAAAAAATAAAGCATGCCTTATAAGGACTGTTTGCACACTCCTCGCTGCTGTGAATTCCGCTCAGTAAAATAAAACTTCAGCCTCCAGCAGTTGGGAATGCTCTCCATCACTGGAAGTTTTTAAGAAGAGATTTGACACACACCCCCACCTCCTCCCTCTGGAATGGCATAAGGTTTTATTTTATTTTATTTATTTATTTATTTGATTTGTCAATCGCTTACAAGATAATAGGTATCAGCATAAACATAGTTATGAATACATGAAATGGGTACATATAAGAAAAATATAAAAGAAACAACAGGACAGGGACGGTAGGCACGTTGGTGCGCTTATGCACAGACCTCTGAGGAAAGGGGTGAGGTTCATAGTAGACAGTCTAAGGTTAAAGTTTTTGGGGTTTGGGGAAGAAACCACAGAGTCAGGTAGAGGATTCCAGACATTGAACACTCTGTTGCTGAAGTTGTATTTCCTGCAATCAAGTTCGGTGCGGTTAACCTTGAGTTTGTATCTATTGTGTGCTCTTGTATTGTTATGACTTCCTGAACTGGACTAGTTGGACTAGAAGACCTCAAAGTTCCCCTCCAGCTGTGTTTTCCTTCCTTCCTTCCCTTTCCTTCCTTCCTTCCTTCCTTCCTTCCTTCCTTCCTTCCTTCCTTCCTTCCTTCCTTCCTTCCGCCTGCTTTAAGATGGGTAGACTTCAAGTCCCAGAATTCCCAAGCCAGCATGCTTTTAAGATGGGTGGATTTTCCCTGGACAATGTATGATTCACTAAAGAAACGCCTTGCTTAGCAACGGAAATTCTGTTCCTAATTATTGCCATAAGTTCAATATATTTCTTGGATGCTTTTTTTTTTTACAAGAAAGTGGCATGTTCAATAGTCAACCCATTTCTTTTCCTACCGAAAAAGTACTTTAGTTTTTATTGAACTATTTCTTGCTTTGACCTGCTCCTGAAAGCTGGAAGAAAACACCTCCCTGTTTCTTCCTTAGGAAATCCTCAAAACTGAATATTTGCAATTGAAAAAATAAAAAATAGCGTCTTACTAAAAGTTTGCCAGTCTTCCAAAATCTCATTTCATCCCTTTGTTCCCCTGCCTGTAGCAACCTGGTTGTTAAAACCAACAGATCTAAGTTCTTCAAAAAGAGCCTCTTAAAATATTTTCTTGCGTTTATTAAATGATTCCTTCATCCACTCTAAAAAAAATTCCATTAAAAATTGCAGGTACAAAAGACAAATTCATCCAGGAAGCCACAGTTTTCAAACAAGCTCCCAAAATACTCTTCTTCTTCTTTTTTTTCCAAAATACCAAAAATATCTCAAAGAGTTGTTGTCATCTTGGCAGCTGAGCCCTGTCTAATTTTCTGGCAGATGTTTCTCAAGTTAGCAAAAAAATATGTTGGATTTAATTCACACTCCTACATAGGATTTTTTTTTTTTTCACTTTTTCCTGGAAATGTTTTTGGACCGGAATATCTTATGCCGAGTCAGAACATCGTGTTAGTGACTCAGCATTAATTCTTGTAAAAAAACTGACTTTTAAGGAAAATTTCCTTTCGACTGAAAATAATGATTGATTATTTGGGGTTTGGAATGATCCTTAAATATTTGGACATGGATTATGATGTATGTCTGTGCTATGATGTTTACCACTACGACTCAAAGTCTCCAGGATTATATATTATAAATGTTCCTTAAACTGTTATTTATTTTTATTAAACCAAGCTGAAGCCAGCTCGGTTGTCAAAACAAAAATGTACAGAATAATCCTTGACTTACAACCACAATTGAGCTGCAAATGTCCGTTGCTAATCAAGACAGATAAGTGAATTTTGTCCCATTTTACAATCTTTCTTGCCACGGTTGTTAAGTGAATCATTAACAGTTGTTAAGTGAATCCGGCTTCCTCATTGCCTTATCAGAAGGTCGTAAAATAGGATCATATGACCCCAGGACACTGCAATCGTTGTAAATATGAGTCCATTGCCAAGTCGAAATTTGATCCCACGATTATGGGGATGCTGGAACGGTCGTAAGTGTGAAAAACAGTCGTAAGTCCCTTTTTTTCGGGGCTGTTTAACTCTGAACGGTCACTAAATGAACTATTGTAAGTCGAAGACTACCTCGGTCAGCTAAAGACAGTCCTCGACTTCCAACCGCAATCGGGATCCGGATTTCTCATTTCTAAGCAAGACAAGGCGGTTTTTCAGTCGAATCTGGCTTTTTCAGCCTTTTTTCCGTGTCATTGTAAAGCAAATCACTGCAAACCAGGCAGTCGTTAAGCAAATCGAGCTTTTGCTTGTCGGGACGCCGGCTGGGAAGGCCGAAAATAGCGATCACGAGACACCCCCCGCCAAAGACGCAGCGGCCATTGTAAATGCCAGTTGGCTGAATGCCCAAAATGTTGATCCTGTGATCGTGGCAATACTGCGACAGTCGTAAGTCTGAGGACCGGTTGCAAGTCAGGGTTGTTGTTTTTTCACGTTCTGTTGTTAAGTTTGAAGAGTTTTGTTGCAAGTCGAAGGTTACCTGTAGAGATTTATCATGGAGAAATGTTTTTAAAAATTACCAGGTAAGGTCTGGTAAGAGACTTAACGGAAACGTGTCACAACAGCGGCTAAATTGACTAATGCATTTCAATGTGTGTGGCTGGCAGGAGAGGTGTGATTACACACGTCCCTGAAGGGTGGAGGAGCCCTGGGGGTCAGATCCAGCCCGAAGTTGGCTAATATAGAGTTTATTTGCGGTTTGTGGAATGCAGACGGTTCTCCTTCCCAGAAATAAGAGGGTGGAGAACCGGACAGAGACGAGTCACTCCACACTCTGCAAGTTAAATTGAAAAAACATCGCTGGCTGGACAGGACCACATGTCCTCACAACTATTCATGAGGAAAAAAAGAGAAAATTTAGATCAAGGAACCTGTAAGAACATCTGCAGAAAATTCCAGGGCTGGAAAAGAATAAATTTTGCCGTTTGAGTCATGGAGAATTACATATTTTTAAATATAGCTGTATCTATCTATATAAAAGCGAAAGGCCACTCACGCGTCAACACGAAATCTCCAGAACCGTAAAGCCTACAAACTTGAAATTTGGCATGTTCATCTTGGCTTCTAGGTGCTCACTAAGAAAGGATTTTTCCAAATGACCATCAGAGCATTTAGAGTATTTCCTATATTATTATTATTATTATTATTATTAATACGCTGTGATGCTAAGGAGTTCTACTCCCCCTCCCCACCTGAAAATAAATCTCTTCCAGATGTAAAACACAAGCAGAGGAGTTTTAGTTCCACAGCAGCAAGCAGCTTTAGTACAGAACAGTTGAGCTAAGCCACTGCCCAGGCTCCTTGCTGTCTCCTCCTTGCTCACACAGCAAATACTCTTTCAGTTTCCAAACGGCCTTCAACTCTCTCACACACTGACAGGATGCTAGCCAGAGGAATACCGATGGATGCTGGTAGGCAGAGGCACAATTTTTTTTCTCCTTATTTTCCTCCCCAAAAACTAAGCCCAACCACATAGTTTCGTAGCGAAGCACGGGTATAGTGCATATATAAATCTATCTGTATCTATATCTATAAAAAATAAAAATTCTGGTTGAAGCCAGCAATTCCCCAAACTGCATCCTGGCTCAATTCAGATTTCAAAACAAACGTTTCCTTGATTTTTAAGTTATTTTTAAAGTCCCTTTCTCTCAATGCCGACCTCTTGGCATAGAGGATAGAAACTTTTGTCTTTCCATCCAAACATTATAAAAAGTTGGCATTTCAGAGAGGGCAGCTGAGGTTTTGTTAACACATTTTTTTTTTCTCTGTTGGCCTGCTAGAAACCCAGAAGCGATGTGAAACAAGTTTCTGTTTGCTTTCTGCAAACAAAAAAAATTTGGGGGCCTTTTGTTTGCAAAATTAGTCAGCAAGCTCGAAGGCTTTGCAATCGCATTCCAGAGTTGAGGAAAAAAAATGTGTAGCGGTATCAGAATTTACAATAGGCTGAAAATACCAGCGTGCATTTGCTCCCTGAAAAAAATAAATATATTCTTTTCTTTTTTTTTCCTTTAGGGCTCCAAGGTTATGCAAAATAAATTCCCCCACAAAGAAGGGAGAAAATGGCTCAGAGGCAGAAAGAGACTCCTGGCAGATTGCTCAAGGTTAAATTCACACAACACAAAGCCACAACTTAAGGCAGTGCGCACTCCCAAACCCAAACCCTGGATAAAAATTGCACGTTTTGGTCATGAGGTCTTAGCAAGAAAATGGAGCCAAGTGTGATTTTTAAGGCAGTTTGGTTTAGTGGTTAAGCTAGGAACGAGAAGACGGGGAGTTCTAGAATGAAAGCCAGCTGGGCGACTTTGGGACAATCACTAGGAGACGGTGAGTTCTAGTCCTGCCTTAAGACATGAAAGCCAGATGGGCGATTTTGGACCAACCACAAGGAGTTCTAGTTTTTACTTAGGCATAAAAACTGGCTGACCAACTTTGGGCCAGTCACCAGGAGACTGTGAGTTCTAGTCCTGCCTTAGACATGAAAGTTGGCCGGGTGACTTTAGGCCAATCACTAGAAGAGGCGAGTTCTAGTTCTGCC